AGCGCGGTGACGGGGCGCACGCCTCGGCCGAGGAGCCCGACGCGGGCGGTGGGGAGTCGGGGGACAGCAGCCCTCCCCCCGGCGAGGACCCTGCCACCGCTGGAAGGCGACCCGAGGAGCTCAGCCCTGAGCGACCGGACCCGGGCGCTGGAGAGGTTGGGACTGCGAAGGATGCGGCCATAACAGGTGACATTCCAATAACGACTATCCCCCCTGTTGAACCTCTCTGTGATAGCGGTCAAGAGACGGCAGCCGCCCCTGACCCTTCCTCTATTGATCCACCCTCAGAGCAATCGATTGATCGTATTTGTTTGATGTTTGCTGACGTGACTTCACTGAAAAGCTTTGACTCTCTTACAGGCTGCGGAGATATTATTGCGGACCACGAGGAGGATGTGGGCGGCGGGAGTGGCGGCTGCGAGAAGAGCACCCCCGGGGCCGGCAAGCTGGGTGCCTCCAAGAAGCACCCCACCATGGTGGCCTACCAGGGAGGAGGGGAGGAGATGGCCAGCCCAGACCAGGTGGATGACACCTACCTGCAGGAGTTCTGGGATATGCTGTCGCAGTCAGAGGAGACCCACACAGAAGGAGGAGGAGGTGGAGGAGGGACAAAGAAGCCTGAGGGGTTGAAGGAGAACCGAGGTACTGAGGGGGCCCAGAACAGGGTGCCAGTGAAACATGGCGGCCTCCACCAGATCCCCATTCACCTCAACCACAAAGAAGAGCAGAAGGGCAGGGAGAAGGAGCAGCACGAAGGAGTCCCAAACAGCGATGAGGGCTACTGGGATTCCACCACCCCTGGTCCAGAGGAAGATGGTTCCATGAGCATCCAGAAGGAGACCATTCCCAGGGACAGCTACAGCGGGGATGCTCTCTACGACCTCTACACCGAGCCAGACGAGAATCCACCAGCGGGGCCCATGGACGAAGAGGTCACCTGTGTGCCACGCTTCAAGCCCGTGTCTCCAATAACAGCCACGTGCTCACTGAAAACACCCTCAAGCACAGTGAAGGACTCCAAGATACCCATCAGCATTAAACACCTTTCATCGCATTCTGCCAGCCATGGAGCAGATGCCAGTAACAGCCATCATGTCACACACCATCACCTGGCCAAAAGCGAGATGCACAGAACAAAAATCCCTGTCTCTAAAGTACTGGTACGCCGGGTCAGTAACAGGGGCTTAGCAGGGACGACAGTGAGAGCTGTTACGTACCAGGACAGTGCCAAAAAGTAGTTTAATAAGAGGTGGAGTCAAAGACGGAAAGCAAGGTTGGTGTGTGAAATTCTGCGTAGGAGCCCACAGATAACGAATTAGTTTTGCATCACCTGAAGAAAGGCACCTGAATGGCTTACTTCACTGTACTCCATGGGTCTGCACTTCAGAATCCCTTCTTACTAGACTCTATGGCTGAATATAAAAAGTCGACTTCTTTCTGAGCACTTTTTTTTACATTTGTATCTTTTTTCTGGAGCACTAAACACTGGGGAAGTTCATTTTTATACCTTTTTGGAAGCAGGACTTGGATTATGAACCTAAATGAGCATCCTTCCTCCTGCAAAGCAGTGCCATGAGTTCTTCAAGGGAACAGGTTACAAAAGGAGCGACAGGAGAGGTTCTCCAATACACTTACCTTTTAATCATTTCTGGGGGAGGAGTGGAGGGTGTACGCCTGGCTCCGAAAATGGTGTTTGCTCTACAAGATGTTGGAAAAAATACCAAGCAAAAAACAACCGACCTAACAGGTATTTTACCTGCTGTAGGAATGAGAGCACTGCTCAGCAGCAGACTTGATTGACTTGTGTGCAGTAGCTAACTAAGGAGTTAGGTGGACTTGTCTAACAGGAAAACATATTTTTATTTGTCTGTCTGTCTGATTGGTTTTGATCTGGTCTAATGTAAATGGGTAATGGAGACACCTGACGTAGGTTCAGATGTTTACATCAATACTTGTCCGATAATGCATACAATCAGGTTCAGGGAAACATTTTACTAAATGCCAATATACACACAATGTTCACATTTATACAATAACTTGCTTGCCATGTGTAAATATATACATATTTTAGCAGACTTACTCAATGCTACAGATTTTTTATTAAAAAAACCCACCCGTCTGTATTACCTAGAGTTTAAGCAAGAGTTAGTTTTTATAGGTAGATAATTTTACAGTTCTAAAATGATAGAACTTTGTGTAAGTACCTTAAATTAGAGCAAAACTCTGTTTTGTATGGGCTCATCCATCCCCAGATAAGTAAGTCTGAAGTGCTGATTTTGTTCCTGTGGCACATTCCATGTGTCAGCACTGAGGTTCTGACAGCACTGCCACCACAAACCTCTATTTTCAGGGGTTTAGACAAAGTTGCTCTGGGCTTAAACCTTACAGAGAAGGAACCCAGGAAAGAAATGTGTTTTTTAATTATTATTTTTTAAAATATATGAAATTAGTTTTTGACTATTTAAAGAAAGTTTGGGTTCTCATTGCTTTTTATTTTTATTCTTAAAAACGTCAGAATAATTTTACTTTAAGAGAGAAAAAGAAATATGGTAAGCTAGTGGTATATAAAATGGTCTGATGAGCTTGGATCATATGAGAAATGTATTAATGGCCAGGACATTTTTGAATAGTGGCTACTGTACATGGGCATTGACAACATTTCAAAGAAATTTACTAGGATTTTAATGTGCCTGAGGACATATTTTTATGATACACTGAAAAAGCTCCAAAAATCACTGAAGTCTAAAGGTAAATGTTATGTATTTACAAAATATTTTGATATAAGTATTTAATCATCAGACCACAGTTAATATAAAATATATGCTCCAGTGTATCTGAAAAAAATTATACATTTTTAAAATATACATGTCTATATTATGCAGAGAATCCTAAATTCACATCACTGAAACTAATGGGTCTGATCTTACATAGCAGTTGTTTTTATTTTCTCTTAAATTGAAAGAAAATAGGAAAATAAATATACAGAATATACAGTTGAACGATATTAAGGTTCTAGATAAACCATAAAAAGCCAGGAAATAACAATAGTAAGAACTATACATAAATGTATATGTGTGGTTCACTGGGGAAATGACCTTATAGTCACCAGGGTAAAATTGTTCTGAAATGACTGCAGGATTTCATACGGAACTGCAGCACCTCAGTGAACAGGGGGAAACCGCTGGTTTCCCTGTTTTCATGGTTTGAGTACGAACCTTAATGCACTTCAAGGAGGATTATTTTATATGTTTTCTTTCTATGTAACGTGTATGTGCGTGGTTTTTACATGCCTGCTGACACAGACGTGTTGTACATATGCATGTGTAGTCAGAGCACACCTCCTCGTAGGGGACGGCCACCTGGGCGAGGGCGCACGCCCGCGCACACCCGCGCTCACGCGTGCATGCTCCCACGCACGGGCTGAGGGCATGTGCTGCAGTCTGTCTCCAGACACGCTGGCGATGGTTTCCTTTGCCTGAGAAAGGGATTTGCATTTGGTCTGACTCTGCTTATGCATTTTAGAAATACCCTCAGAAGGATGAATGTACGGAACATGGAATATTATCCCGGTCCTTGTCCCTAAACCTCACATTCCTGTTTCCATTCTTTTGTTTTTCTCTGACTGTAAGGGACACATCTTTCCCTGCATGACAGCTCTGCAGAAAAAATCATAATTCCCCATTTTGCTCTAAGGGCAACTTGTGCAGAGAGGTTCTATAGGGTACGGGAAGTTGAGAGGGAGAGAGGATGTGGTGAGCTTGGGGTAGTACCATAAAAGCTGGAAGCACTGAGTAGTAGGAGTGGTGCATCTTTAAACCCACTAGCAGTTATCTACTCCCATCTCTAGAGGACTTGTGTGTGGCAAATTATTCATCATACGAATTTTGTTTGCATTGTGAGATGTCTGTATCGAGAAACTAATAGACTGACGTTAGACTAGCTCCTTCTCACGTAGTGACTAATCATCATTAAAATGCTTTGGCTTCCCATCATTTTTCTCTTTCTCCTTTGTTTTCTGACCCGTTTTTTCCTCCATCCTCTGCACACTGGTGAGCAGCATCCTCCTCGGTGCTAAGCCCCGGTGCGGAGCGGGGAGCCCTGGGCTGGCAGCCGAGTGCAGGGTGGGAGGGCGGCCGTGCTGCCTGCCAAGGCCAGGTGCTCCCCAAGTGCTCACTCGAGCTTTCTGTCGCATACTCAGTGTAAGTACATTTTGCAAATCTCTTGGTGGTTCGTTTGGCTGCTTGCTATGTACATATTTTAAGGACAATCATATCCTTAAAAGGAAAATGGGAAAGTAGCTTGTAGTAGGGCGTCAGTATTTCGAATCATTGCAACATACTGACGTTGATTCAGGGTAATGGTTGTGTGAGAGTAAAATACAATTTAATGCTCAAGTTAACGTTGTATTTATAAAACTCGCTTTTGTCTTTAAGCCATCTATGTTTTTTATTTTGAAAAGTAATAGAAAATTTAATGTTTACTAGGGCACTCAATTTTCATAGAAATATATTTCTATAACTCCACACAATGCCTAAAACAGTCACTGGAAGGAGGTTCAAAAGCTTTCTTTAGACCTGTATTTAATACCTGAAAGATCCCTGTAAAATACTGTGAGATGCCTAAGAACAAACAGTGAATGGCTTGCTGGAGTGAAAGGCTGAGACATACAGAGCTAATAGTCCCGAGGCATTCTGTGGTGCTTTGCATTCTTATTTATGTTACCCTGTTCAAGCATATATTTTCCTTGGCTTTGGTAGATATCAAGGTAGAAATGGTGTTCTGAGTCCCAAAGATAACATTCCAAATTCTGTCGTCGTTTTGATTTTCTTAAAGAATGCTTTTCTTTATTTGTTATTTTGTGGTCTGATTGATGCTTTGTAATTATCAGCTTGTATGTCATTCATAAAGGATTTTATAGATCAGGACTTGGCATTTAGTCATATGTACTCTTTGCACTTTCAGGTCACTATTAGTAAATTTTGTATGTTCTTAGGATATTTCTATATATTGCGTAGCATTTTATAGCATTATATCTTCAGTGATTTCAGTGGTATACATTCCTGTCCTATATATCAGCACAAAAGATTTCCTTACCGGTAGCATGAAGTGATGTTTTTGTGGACTTCTTTTGTCATAATAGGAGTTAAGTTTTATGCACTGTATGTGTGGCCTGCAACAGACATAAAGGGTCTTATTTTCCCTGTAGTGCGTATGCATTTTGCTCTTGCCAGTAATAGGACTCAAACACACGTAACAGATTTCAGAAGAAATTCCATGACTAGAATAAGAAAAATCTGTTCAGTCTTATTCCATCAATCACCAGCATTTTCTTCACCCACTGTGAATATCCTCACAGCCATTCAGGGTAGTAGAGGACTGAATTTTTTAAATGACATGCATAGATGTACACTATGAAAATTAATTCACTGATTATTTTTTAATGAATCTTACTAAATTATTTATCTAAGCTGATACAGATGGCATTTTCAGTAAGATCCTATAAGTGCAGATGAGCCAAATTAACAGGCTTTGCTTAGCAAAGCAAAACCTAGTTGTTTCTTAAATTTGTAGTACTGACTGAGCTTGCAGATCAAAGGGAACCATTGATTCTGCTACATGGCCGGTGCTGGGAGGTTTTTTTCCCCTTGCTCTAATGGACTACTTTCAGAAAAGGCTTTTCAGCAAGATAATGTTATGAAAGAGAGAGCTCACGGTAACAATAGCCACTTACAAGGCAGATGGTTATCTAACAGCCATAATGGGGGACTCAAGCAAGGTGGCCTGAAATGTATTTTCAGAGTTATTGATATGAAAGGCTGAGGCTTCTGGTGTGGGAAAAAAAATCAACACCAACTAAAAAGATGCTGCAGAAATGAGTCTTGGCAGAGTTTACATGTGACAGCTTCTGCAGGGTTTTATTTATTTATTTATTTAGGCTTTTCCTGGTTTTGCTGCTGTTGTTTTTGCTTTGTTTATGTTTTCATTGGGATGACATAACCCCACGTGTCCAGGCTGAATTGCACAACTGACTCTTCTGAGATTCAGTGCTGAGAATACACTCCCAGTTGTCTTCAGTGGCGCAGGACTGGTCCCCGCTGAACAACCCTCCCTTCCATTGAGGGGTGGGATGATGGGATTCCCTTGTCATGAGTCCATGTGCTGTTTACTGTGAGCAGGACGCATCTGAATCTGTCTCGCTGTTTGTTTTCAGGGGACAGTTTATTTTTTAATCTGACTC